CCGATGTCGGTCAATTTGCCGGCCATCAGACCGGCCATCGTTGCCACTATCAGCGGCCACCGCGGTCGCGACGTCGCGGCGTTCACAATGGAGCGCTGATTGAACTGGCTCCCGAACAACAGGCGGCGGCGGCGGCGACGGCGGTGGCGTCGCGCCTGCTCACCGGGCTTCGTCAGAATCGATGGCCCGCGTCCGGCGCTGGCCGACCCGGCCGCCTCGCGCTAACCTTTAGCCGGCGCGACGCGGGCGCCTTAATTAAGGGACGCGGTCCGCACTTTCCTCTTCCAATAGGGCCAGTGGCACTGCGGCTGTGAATAGGACCGAGCGCGCTGAGTTCTGGCAACTCAGCCGTCAAGGTGCGCTGTCGGCAGAAAGTTGAGGCGTAATTTTCTCATCTGCGCGGCCTCGAAGCACAATTCCTTATGCCGTCCAGAGTGTAGCGCCTTGAGAGGAACGAAATCACGAGCTATGCGATTCTAATTTGCCGGCTCGTAATTGGCAACAGCAGAGGAATGGAAAACAGCTCAGCAAGACGTCGGCGTTTCACTCTGTAATGCCATTTCGATGCGACTCTTATCGCCAGACCGATGACTGCCGCCAAGCAAAAGTGTCGACAAGAAAATTGGTTTCGGGGCTTCGACTGATGACACACACAGTGGTGACACCAGTAGGAACGTCAGGCGGCGATTAACACACGCCCGGGTGGCCGGCTAGATACCTTTCGCTCGGGTGGGGGGTCAATTTGACCCGCCCCCCTGAGATCTCGGTAACTAAGAGAGCTAGAAGCACCAAATTTGCAGAGTGTATTGACCTGTACGTGAACTCACTTAAGTCAAATTTTGAGGTTCCTAGGTCATGACCTTTGGGTTAAATAAGGTCAAAACAAGGTCAAATACCAGGTTGGTCTCAGAAGTGCACCCAGAACCGAGATAACTGTTTCTAAGCAAAAGGTCACATGCTCAGCTAAAGACAGTAACCTTTTCTTACTTTTTGAAGGTCATGGTGACCAGAGTCGTGCAACACTGCTCTGGGTTTTGCATTTAGATAAGCGACAAAGATTGCGCCAGGCAGTATGTTCCTAAAAAGCTGACCTGGGTCATTTCAGGTCAATTACCAATTCTGACCTCTAAGAAGGTCATGGAAGATGTGTAATGCGGTTCCTGTTATCAATGCGCTCGAAGTGAGCACCAAAAACTAACCCATACAGCAAGCCCGAAAGTAATAAAGCAAGTTGGTTTTGACTTTAGTCTGACCTTTATACTTGACCTCAGGTCAACGTGATTTGCTTATTAAATATTTGTGTTGCCTAAGAAAGCATCTCAGAGATGTATGGCTTCGTCTAACATTCCGTTGTTCGATCAGATTGAGCGATTCCCTGGAAACTGACTTCGCTAAAACCATGGCCTGACTTTGACCTGCCATAGGTCAGCGACCTTACAAGGTACGTCTAAATTGGTGGTGCCAAACGATCTGCTATTCGATTGTCTACAGCTATGCAAAATTTGGCGTGGCTGCGCCGCGCCATCCGGAAACTATTCTGGAAAAACCTTCGGGGGTCAGTTTAACCCCCACCCGAGCGCGTGTTAAGAGTATATATATATATATATATATATATATGCATCCATGTGTATATATATATATATATATATATATATATACATACATATATATATATATATATATATATATATATATATATATATATATATATATATATATATATATATATATATATAGTCATCTGAGATCGCTGGTAACGTAATGAGACACCACGGCACGCTGGTCATGTGCCGAGACACCAGACTAGTGGCAGCGTAGCACCACAGAACACTAACAGTGTAATGAGCCACCTCAGACGACGCGCTGCGTGATGAAAAATCACAGAAACTGACTCTGAGGTGAGACGACACAGCTTCTCGCCGTGAAGCGAAAGGGCAAAGACTGGTCGGCCAACGTTCTCGCTGCAGGGTTTCGTCAGGTGACATTTGGGTCTCTCGGCCGTGCAGGCTGCGACCGCCGGGTCCAGAGAGCGTGGCTGATTATACCGTCGAGCGACAAATGGTTACCCTCCCCCCCCCCCCCTCCACTGTACTCTGCACCACCACTGCGTGTGGGACAGCAGTGGTGTGATCATGTGATCGTGTGATCATGCGCCGCCGATTGTCGGACACCTGGTAAAGCATGCCGGTGAACTAGTCAAACGGAGGTCAGCTAATTGATAAAGTTGGCTCAAGCAGGGCGTCCACTGCTGCGGATTTGTCTGGGAGTTGGGATCCAGGGCCTTACTGAAATTCAAAAGACAAAAGATGTACACCAAAAGCCAAATATTTGTTCCTTCAAATCCTGAGTGGCTGTGTAATCACGAATCGCCAGCATCGCCGACCCTGGTGGCATGCCATTGTCACATTAACAATGTCTGGTTTATATTGTAGTATTACATGAGTGTCATGACAAAGTCTACAACGACAAGGTTGGAAACCTTTATTCATCAGTATTTCGTTGATTTATTCACTTATTTTATCATTATTTCATTTACGTTCCAACGGCCGTCAAAACATAAAATCCACTACGAAAAGAAAAGTCTTACAAAGCTTCGTGAAGAGAAAAAAAGCTGAAGACGTATCTTGAAATCCGACGGAGCGTACCAGATGTGCTGTGTGCAATTTTTGACCTATCATGTTACGCAAAACATCCTTCGGATAAATACTGGCGCACCTTAGACGCACAAAATGTGTAATGTAACGAAAACAGCGTCCTGTCATTAGGTCTACTTAGGCTCTATGCACACATCAATCAGAAACTTTATTCGTGCATGCGACTCACACCGGGACATAACACAGAAGGCATTACCAGAATTAAAACAGCCCGTGCTAAAAATGGAATGTGCTTCTGTCTCTAACCTTTACGGTCTCGAGTGGATCATAATTTCCAGGTGATGAACAACACAATTTTGGGCTATGACCACGGCACAAAACTCGTTTTATGTGCAGCGTACCAGCGCTCCACAAAACAAATTGGCTCTGAATGAGGGTCCGGATAGCCCATTCATTTCGGACGGCGCCAGGATAGGTAGCAGACTGTGCCGCAATGCGCCGCTGTACGCCGGAACGCTGAACTGCACGTACGCGTGCTTGATGCAGGGCGGCGTGTGAACCGCGGCCAACCTCGTGTATTTAAGCCGAGAAGTGCAAACTGGCAATGGTCTATCAAGAATGCAGAGTGAGCATGTTGACGACTTAGCATGGCGGGTCGCCGCGCATTCCTGGTTGGCCTGTCCGGAGGCAATGTTGGGCTCGTTATGCTCGTTACGGCCGCCCGATGGTATGTGGCGACCCAAAGGAGAAAAAGTGCGATCCTATCAGGCTTTTCGGTAAACGGGTTTTGTTGTGCCGCGTTTAAGCACATGTAAGGTGGAAAATACGGAGACCATTGCCACCATCGAGAGAAAGTTGTGAGACGCTTGGATGCGCGGTATATTGAGTAAAACATACGTCGCAGGCATGGTAATGATTTAAAACAATGTAATTCAACATGTGAGGGAACCATGCATTGTCTGTGTTGGAGTTTTTCATCGTAAATATATCCCTTCTGCCTGTACGGTTCAGTACATGGCTAGATTTGGTCAAAATAAGACTTCAGCTTCTTTCTGGGTTGGGATCGGGGAAGTGGCCACGCGCAGTGTGCCTGGGTCCCATCTCCCTTACGGAGAAGCGGTGGAAGTTGCACGCTAATTTACACACACATATATATATATATATATATATATATATATATATATATATATATATATATATATATATATATATGAATATATACATATAGATATAACGACATATAGCGTATATAAATTATTTACATTAATATATCTATATCTAGACCTACTATTCATATATATGTTATTATAGGTTAATTATATACATTACATACATGCTGATTTATCGTATAATATGCATCAATATAATGATGCATATCACACACACACACACACACACACACACACATATATATATATATATATATATATATATATATATATATATATATATATATATATATATATATATATATATAACGTAATGTGTACATATTGCAGCTCGTTAGATGGTCCACGAGAGCTTGGTCGGCATGGATCTAGCGAACGCCGCTAAATCTAAATAAATATGGTGACAAAATCTTGTTTACTTATCCACCAAGCTGCGTTTCGTCACATCTCATGCCAGACACAGCCTTCGCTGACATGCATGCGCGTGGAAAACTCAACAGCATGTCTAGTGCAATCCCCAGCCCAGGCTCCGTATTCAATAATCCACCGCGCACGGCATCGTCTTTGTTGCTGCTACATAGCCACCCCGGTCACCAAGGCGTAGCAGGTCCCACTGAAAGGCTCTGGCCGGTGAAATGGATAATGCGTCATGTTTCGCCGCATCATCATCAGATTAACAGCCCCGATTCGTTTGGCGCGTGGCGTGACTGTTGCAGGGGTGGACGTCCGCGCACCAGCATTGACGTCCCCCAGTGGTAAACAGCTGCAATACGGTGAACGTGTTGAACGTTGGAGCAAAACTTGGAAGCGGTTCAACTAAGCCGCGAATAGACTTTGCAAACGACCCTAGGCTCCACGCCTGAGGGCCACTACGGCGCTGTCCCCGCAACGCCTAATACTTACATGCAACGGCGAGTATAATGGTACAGCGAAGTAGCCCGGGACAAAGCACGAAAACAGCCAATGATTGCGCAAGATAATGGAGGGCGAAACAACTTTAACGCTGGAGTAGATTGCAGCTTTGTTTGGACGGCGTTCCGGCCGAGGCCGCGTTGCGACGGACGCGCCGAATACGTGCTCTGTCGATGGAGAGAAGCCCCCGGCGATGGAGCTCTAGAGAGTGGCTCCCGGTGGAAGAGCTCTGGACATGCGAGGCGTCGGAAAGCACTCGACGATCTCCCGGGGGTCTGCAGGTGAAAAACAACACCGGCGGCCCTCCGGCACGCTGTCCACTTACCTTGGAAAGAGAACTTCAAGTTGATGATGAACGGATGGTCGAGCGAGGACAGGATCTGCACCTCCCTGATGACGTTTTTAACCGCCTCCTTCTCCAGACATTGGCGCTTGTTCGTGTACTTCATGGCATACATCTGGTTGTTGCTCTTTCGTCGCACGATGCATACCTGCAATGCGAGGCGAAAGGAATTCCCCTTAGAGATAACGGAGAATATCAGTGTTCGCCAATCGTGTTTTAGTGAAGCACGAATCCCGCGAGATTTAGACGTTCCACACATACCTTTACACATAGCCGAGCATCGGGATTTCGCGGAATCTGAATCCGGTCATAAAATACATCAGCCCAATCCGAGCATCAGCTAGGACTAATATGCTTACGTTGTTTGACAGTGACGTGGCTTGAGTAGACCGCTAAGCGAGCCAGCAATCAACAAAAAGCGCGCTAACTACGCATGTCAGAGGGGTTTTACACCTGTATCCTGGCAATCTCGAGTACTTATTATTCCATTTTGGCAAAGTAGCCTCTTGACCTCACCTCGCGAGACCTACCGTAAACTCGTGACTTTCGAAGACAGCACATATGACCCGCAACCAATGAACGACTATCGATGATGTTTATCACAAATATGCATGATCATATAAGAGATGTCCTACCAAATAAACACTGTAACGACACTTTGCGCGGCATTAAGCGAGAGAAGCGACAACAGGCGCGGATCAGCCCATTGTTGTCATGTAGATGACACCAACACCCAAACTAAGGGGGGCGGGCCTAAACATTAGTTTAGATGACACCAACACCTAAACTAAGGAGGCGAGGCCTAAACATTAGTTTAGATGACACCAACACCTAAACCAAGGAGGCGAGGCCTAAACATTAGTTTAAATGTTACCAACACCCAAACTAAGGAGGCCAGGGTGCTTGTTTTCCGATTGTAATTGAAAAACCAGCATAGGGCCTGATCAGAGCACCGGGGGGACGTTATTTGATGAGCGTTCAGTGGGCGGAGGAGAGGTGATAAAGAGTGCATGAGCCATCATAGCGTTGTACGTATCTTGAAATAAGGGAGCGTTGTGCTCACAGTTAACGCCAAAACGGTTGAAACTAATCTACATGTCATTTGCCAGCAAAGGCTTCTTCAGTAGCTCCTTAGCTAGCTGATCATCTCGGGGGCGCAGTAGTTAAAGTAAGTGTTCCACAGCTGAATATATTGAAGCAGGCATCAGACATGATGAAATAAGCTTAGTTACATTTATTGACACTTTTTAAGCGGGAAAGGCCGCTCAAGACAAAATGTCTTTTCTGTTTAGCTAATATGCTTCTCAATACGTCATTGCTTAATAACGTGATCGTACCTTGTGCAACATTGATTGAGAGCCAACTGACAGTCATTGCATTTGGAAATCGTATTCATTAACGCCAGATATGAGCAACTCGACAAGTTTTTTTTTCTAGCCCCTGACTGCCGCATGACTACGAAATGAAAGAATCTAAATAATGGCATAATGACGTCATAAATGCCCGAGCGACCTTGAAATAATATTTTCGAAAAAGTCTTCACATCTTCGCGAGCGTGTACCTCAGAAACTAAGAGCGTTTATGTCTTAAAAGGGTAGGACTGTCAACGGCGACTAGTGATCTTCAAGTCGACCTTTTCAGTTCAAAACCTCATACAAATGCGAAACGCTCCCTTTCATGCGCCAAGGTAGGTGGAATGTCTGTGGTTGAAGCCTCACGTCGGAAGACTTTTCTTCGACCCGCTCTGACTTAGAAGATGGCCGAAACTGGGGAGTGTTTGCTCCGCCGTGAGATCAACGCTGCACCAACCAGCACCCGCGGTGCCGGGCTCACGAACATTGTCTGCCTTTAAAAAGACTTCCTTCCGGCGGCATTTCCTGAGGGCACAGCTTGGTTTCATGTCGTCGGAGCGGTCCTCCCATACACTGGGCCCGAGGAAGCGCGAGAGCCCTTGCTTGTGCACATGTTCCCCCTGGGAACATGGCAGCAAGCGTGTGGCCAAAACTGTCCCGTGAGGGCACCGAAGAGTGGAGCCTCTGCCGCATACATAACGATGTGTCCGTGATGGATACTTTCTCCATGTCTTATGACTTTAGTGCGCGAGTGTGACTAACAATGTGACTGTGTCCATGTAACAAGAAAAGTCCGGTGGGACACACACACACACACACACACACACACACACACACACACACACACACACACACACACACACACACACACACACACACACACACACACACACACACACACACACACACACATACATACATACATGTACACATATACACGCACACACACACACACACACACATATATATATATATATATATATATATATATATATATATATATATATATATATATATACGTTTGGATATAGATAGCATGAACTCCAAGTCGCGTCTTAAACTGTTCCGCAGACCATTGGTTCAGTAGACCATCAAACATCCCTTGCCAGCAGCGCAGCCCTGTGTTCACCCATCCGCGATGACCTATGCTGAACGAGGTGACTGACAGAAGAGAACGCAACCAGCTGGAATCAGTTACAAAGGAACGGTGTGGACCGACAACCAGAGGGAGGAGAACGAAGTCTCTAAAGCAGCACGTAGCGGAAAGCGAGACCACCAACAAACTACGTAACACTAGTTGCGCTAATTCCATCAGGTAGCATAGCATACATGCCTGCAGTGTGCACTCCTCTTTCGCGTGGACGGATTGTGGCAGCGTTGCCCAACGAAACACGGCTTTCCTCGCAGCGCCAAGGGCTTGTCACACTGATTGGTGCACGTCCCGGCCGCGTGGCCGTTGCGTGTTTGTGGGTGATTGTGTAGCTGAGTAGCTTTCTCACTTTGAAGTAGCGAAGTATGGACCCGGGCAGGTGGTAGACTAGAAATGCGCGAGGCGAGCCTCCGCATTCTCTCATTTTGAAGTAGCGAAGTATGGACCCGGGCAGGTGGTAGACTAGAAATGCGCGAGGCGAGCCTCCGCATTCTTTCACTTTGAAGTGACGAAGTATGGACCCGGGCAGGTGGTAGACTAGAAATGCACGAGGTGAGCCTCCGCATTCGGCGTTATCACCGGCAGTTCACGGATGTCTGAGCCTGCCAGGAGGTAAGACTTCTGTACGAGAGGTCCCGCTTGCTTCGCTGCACAAAGGAGCGGCACCTCTGACGCTGGTAGCACCACCGATGACGACGAAATGCTTACTTGTGTTTCGGAAATATGCAGTAGATCTCAGTTAATACAAGCACGCAGACATTTTATATTTTCCTTAGGAGGCTTAGGGATTGTCTCCGAACTTTCACATGGATGGACCGAATTCCCTCGACATTAGGATCTAGTTTAAACATATTGTTGTGCTATGTATATGTCGATTTATGCAAATTCGCGACGTAGGATTACATAACAGAACAGCACTTCTGTCTTTCCTGAGTGAGAAAAAAGGAGATCTGAAGGCATCTGACGCCTGAGCAATGGAGTTCAAAACAGATGCAAATGTTTTATCTGCTGGATGAAATAGAGCGGGCCAGTAGACAGCCATGCGCGTGGATTAGAAGTTTGACACTGTCAGTAACATATCAGGATATAGCGATCTTAGTCCCGGGTGTCGATTTGGACCTTTTGTGGGGGCCGCTGCCTCACCACTATCCAATTTTCTCTCTCCCAACGGGCAGTTCAGCCCCAATCTTTTGGCGCCTAAGCAAAAGCAGGGTATAGAAGATGGGGGATCAAATTAAAGCACCTGTAAAGAAGGTTTCAGATACAAGGCACAAAGGAAATAAACACCTATGAATCCATATGAAAATGCATAAAATAAAATACTGCACTTGATTGCTCCTTTTTATTTCGTATATCTGGTCAAGTGTGCACCAAATGACGATATATGCCTACTTCCCACTCGCCTGATATGCGAACAGAATCAGCCACACAGCAGCCTCTTCAGCTCAGTTCGATTCCAGCCAAGGCTCACTGCCACAATGTCGGAAAAATGGGCCGGCCAGTAATGACTCCATCTCTTCGGTTTATCGGCACTCCCAGCTCTCTCCCCTCCCTCTCTCTCTCTCTCTCTCTCTCTCTCTCTCTCTCTCTCTCTCTCTCTCTCTTCTCTCTCTTTCCCTTGCCCTCTCCCTGTCTCTCGCTTGCGCTCTCCCTCAGGCACTCTACCACCCTCCATACAACCAGAGTTGTTGGTATGAGAACATTTCAGGGGTTAAGAATCCGAAAGTTAGTGCGTATTTGGTTCAATTCAAACCTTGTCAAGTTTCCTGGAGCTTGAGGAAGAGCCTGTGAGTGTTCATTTTGTACATTTATTCTTGGCGCAGGTCGACCTTAAGGTGTTTGCCTAGCGAACACGGCGTCTTTGCAACAGGCACATGCTTCACTAACGGGGGGGGGGGGGGGGTCCTCCCGCCAGGGTGATATCGTGAGGCCAAATGGTTCCCAAACACCACCCGACTGGACGACGGCCGAAATAACCGGTGCAGGATGTCGTGGAAAAGAGATAGGGTGGGAGCGGGAGGGCGAGAGAGAGGGAGAGGAAGAGAGATAGGAAGGGAAGAGAGATAGGAAGGGAAGGGAGATAGGGAGAAGGAGAGGGAGAGGGGAGGTAGAGGGAGAGGAAAAGGGGAAGGGAAAGGAAAAGGAAGAGGGGGATTGGGAGGGAGAGCGAGAGGGAGAGGGAAAGGAAGAGCAAGGGAGAGAGGGAATGGGGAAGGGAGAGAGGGAGAGGGTGGGGCATTGTATTGGAGCTGCAATTGGTGTGGTTGGTGCAGACCTTCCCGTTCAAAAAGCAGCTCTGTCCAGCACCTTCCTCGGCTGGTGGTCTGCCTGTTGTCCAGCACTCTCCTCAGCTGGTGGTCTGTCTGTTGTCGAGCACTCTCCTCGGCTGGTGGTCTGTCTGTTGTCCAGCACTTTCCTCGGCCAGTGGTCTGTCTATTGTCCAGCACATTCCTCGGCCAGTGGTCTGTCTGTTGTCCAGCACTTTCCCCGGCCAGTGGTCTGTCTGTTGTCCAGCACTTTCCCCAGCCAGTGGTCTGTCCTTTGTCCAGCACTCTCCTCGGCTGATGGCTCGGCTGTCAGCCATGCATTGTGGTTTGCATGCGTGCATGGCATGCATGCGCCAGGTTTTGTGGGGCCATTCTTCAG